CAGGGCTTTAAGTTCCCCAATTAGGATTTTACATTTGTTTTTGATAAAATTGCAAAAATAAACAACAAAACTGACGCTGATGTCGAGTGTAGCTCTTTTTATTTTGAGTCCAGGATAATAAGCCAGTTTGAACAACTAGGTTGGGTCTCACCCCAGGAGGATTGTGGGTATTCTGGCTCAGCTGGAGACGCGTCATACAGCTCACTGGAAGTGCTGCCATGGCTAGTGGACATCACAGTGGGTTAGAGCAGAAAGAACGACCAGACACTTCCAACAGCTTAATGAAATACTCCAACAACGTAAGGCTTTTCTGACAGATTTTGTTTAGCGTCAGTGACTTACAACATAAGTATTGCCGAATGTTTTTTTTGGTGAAAAATTAGGTGTTGAGCTCCGGAGACATCCACCACTGGTCGGGGAGGTTTCACCTCTTTGATTGTGGGTTTCCTGTGGAAAGTACTGGACTATACTGAAGAAAGTAGCACACAGATGGCGTGCTGCACTGTGAGTGTCAGAGAGGTTTGCAACCCCCACGTGAGCACCAGGGACATCGAAGATGCATGTGCTTTTGTTTGAGCAAAGCCTGTGACGTGGTAAAATGCAGCAGCCCTTTCATGATACATTGGTGCGCATGAATGGTCGTACATATGTGTGTGTGCCTGGGAGGGTTTCGTACATTTTCAGCTTGGACAAAAGATGAGCTTAACTAAATATTTTGTCAGTGAGCCGGATTCCTATGTCATAATAACAAAGATCAGAACCCCTTTAATCCGCGCAGTCATTCACTACCTGTTGTACTTCTAGTGCAATGGAGAGGAGCAGTGTTCCCCGTAAGATGATCGTGACACACTAAAGATGTGTTCTATATAGAGTTTGTTGAGTCACAGCTGTTGGAACATCCCTAAACCTCCTGACAAATGTATGTTTTTTTTAGTTCCCCTTTTTTATGTCGGCACCACCCTCCTGTCATCTTTATTATCACCATTTCCTCTCATCTTTTGGCCAGTTCTGCTCTGTGTTTCCTGACATCTTGTGACGTGATATCTTTGTAATTAGACGGCAAATGTTTTCTAAATGAGACCATCTTCCAGATGTACCTGCATGTGCGTCTGTAATGACTCGGTGCAAATCGTAAATAGGTTAGCGGCCTAATTTCTATTAATAATTGCGGAGTCCACATGGATTCCTGAGTTTTCATCCTTTTTGTTGGTTGCAGTATAGAAAAGGCCAGAGGACATATTTGATTCTCAGCATGGTTTTAAATTTGTTTTCATAACTCAGAGGTTAATTCTGGCGGTTCATGTTTTTGTAGTTGAACGTTCCCATGGTGAAATAAAGGGAAACGCACTGGCTGGAGTCCGATTGGACGTGGGAACATATCAATGTTTGACAATGATGACGAGATGCATGCCCTTTAGTGTTTACCTGTTTTTGTAACCTTGGTTTCTTAAGTGAAACCCGTTGCTCCAAAGATCTAAGCTCACACGTCTAAACATGCTCTGCTTGAGCATGTGCACGTTCCATGTGTTTAGACCCGCTTGTGTTATTAAACTATTTTTAGAGACGTCTGCTGTAGATTCATGTCCGGAAATATTTCTGAGATCTTTTTGACAGAATCGCTCAAATCAGCTCATTGTTCTTCTGGGGCATTTAAAAAGCTTCTGCACTTTTCACCGAGCTGCTTGGACAGAAAGTCGTTTTTTGGGATCCGCTACTTGTCCCAGACATCTCTCTCCATTGGCCTACAGCCTTGGTTGGCTCTGGTGCATTATGACCGTGCTGCCAAAGGGCGTATTGGAACAACATTTACAATATCAAGCTACAATATTAGCCTTAATAAAAGTTAATATCAGAACAAACTCCCATTAAATAAAGTATACTTAAAGCTCTGCTAAGGACAAACAGGAGGTGTTACCATGGCATCTCTGTTTGCACAACCCAACAGACAAAGCGTGACTGGTTTCCCCTCATCATTACACACCGGAAGGAGGGATTCATTTCGCGTGAAAAAAAACTCTCTCCCCCTCCCTGCCTATGGGCACTGCTTCATATTTCTTCGTAACTCCTTGTAGTTTCCTGTTTTGGATTTGACTCAGGTGAGCAGTGACAGATATCTATGGTGGAGGACCATTCAACAGTACTTTTGGATTTGCAGGCTAAAAGACATATTTGCGTCTCATTTGATATTTGCCTGTGTTTGGAAGAAACATGACCTACAATCAACACACAGGATGCCGTCCTGTAAATGACACTGAAGGGGGCCAGCGAGAGGAAACTGCACCATTGTCTTAGAGTTGGCCATCCGAGTCATTTCCCACAAAGAAAATGTGTATTATCTTTGTCACAAATCCTGCAAATCCCATTTGCTGTCATCCTTATTCATCAGTCACTGGACATTTTGACTTTAGTCTCTGCTCTATGTGACTCCTGTCTGCCCGTTTTCAACCAAATTTTAAATGAAGACTCTTTATTAGAAGAGAAAGTGGACATACAGGACAGATGTCAGAGAATGTGACCACTGTTGTCTGTTCGTGGTGTAGTTATGTGGTGATCAGTGATTTAAATTAATTTAATGTACCAATACCAACTTTACCATATCTTTTCCATATCTGGTAAAGAACATATACTGGCAACAGGGCTTCTGAGGAAGTTACCAATCATTCGCAAAGATTTGGTGACCACACTCATCTTCCTCTCTGATATTGTCTCCTTCTTTGAGGATTTTAATTAGATGGAGGATTGAACCAATAGCTTCTGTTTAGACTAATGGGGACAAACTAAAATACATGTGTAAATAATGAGAGAACTTCTCTCTATAACTAACCTTTGGAAAAGTCGGTCACCCGGACGGAAACAAGAGCGAAGGAAGTCGGATGGTGTTAAGTGTTTTAAACCCATCAGAGATGGCTGCTTTGTCTACACGGCAAGTTGATCTCTTATAATCGTGGGGTTCCGGTTTGCAGTTGAAGTTGCAGTAAATGAACTAAACCGAACTGCCTGCTGGCTCCGTCATATGTTACATATGTTTTCATGACTATTAGCCTCATCGCAGAAGCGCCGCGTCGCCCCTCAGGCCTGTTTGCCCTGTCAGCATTCTTACTATTAGCACTGTTAGTTATGAGCTGCTGGCTCGCCGTTGACACGTTGAGAGCCGTTGAGAGGCGAGCTCGGGACTTTCACCTTAAACCAACTAATGCTGATGTGCATCAAAGTAAAGTAAAAACCGTTGGCTAACCAAGGTAAAACTCAATGTTTTGTTTTACGCATGACATCCCTTTCATAACCGTATATTCAAACTATTTAAATGTTTGTTCTTCAGTTTGTTCATGTAAATCTTTTTTTCTCTTAAACAAAACATCTTACGGTTCCATACACCAACATTTTAAACAGTCAGTTAATGATCAAAACCCCTTTCGGTCCTGGTATCTCCATGCAGCCGCCCATCACAGACGACCATCACACCACCTCAACACACAAAGTCCAGTAGATGAAACAACAAAGGATGCTTGCTTTACTTTAGTCATTCGCTCAGTGTTGCCAAATCAAAAGGAGACAATGTGTTGTTGCTTACATAACAAGATAGTCATCAGCCCTCCCTATTGTTGTGTTGCTGCAAGTGTGTGTGTGTGTGTGTGTGTTTCATCCCATTTGGCCTCCGGTAACAGCATGAAGCCTCATCATAACACCTGTGCCCGGCTGTTCCCGTCCTACATGGGACACCTGAGGACATGAGGATCGGACTCAGAATGTGTGGTTCCTAACACGTGCACATCACGGGACGTATGGCGGCGCTGATTGTTGTGTGTCATTCATTTGATGGATGGAGATACTGGTTTCACAGCTGCGTCACGGATGAGAATGATTGATGGATTATTAAGTGAAAGGTAGTTTAATGGCTTTGTTTAGCCAACAATACAGATGTAGATATTTGTAGTTATTTTCTGCTTTAGGATTTAAAAATTAGCACAAAGCAGACAATGGGGGTCATACATAATTCTTCAATAATTATGCCACATTATTGCAAACCATAATCCATGACTGATAATGGATCATTCACAGGGGCCATTTCTTCTGCATTTATGAATACTTTGTAAATTCAAGTACATTTTGCTGATATTACTTCTATTATTTTACCATAGTAAGGTTTTGACTTAAAAATCTTCTCTTTTAAAACCTTATCTTATCTAGAAAGTAAATGTGATGCTCTTCAGCTCTTATGGATCCCAAGAGAAAGACACCAGACAGTGGTTGGACGTTGTGGTTGACATTGTTATTTTTTTACTGAGGGGAGATCAAACGTCAAAATGAAGCAACAATAAGCAAAAGGAGTTTGGTCTGGGGGAGGAGGACCTTAAGTTTGCAGTGTAACCAGCACCTTCTCTGCTGGTGTGTGTTTACTACACAGAAGAGGAAGTAGTGGCCAGAGTGTGAGCTGCAAAACGTCAAGCTGCTGTCACGCATACAACATCGCAGAGTTTGTTTTTACTCACTGCAGCCGTAAAAAAAAAGAAGTGATGTCTCCTCCTCCTCTTTTCTCCTTTGATGATAAGTTTTTAATGAGATCCTTCTCCCCCTCTCCCCCGCTCCACTCCTCATGGATGCGGGAGCGTCACTCTCCCTAATGTCCATCAGTGAATGAACAGTGTGCACTCTAGCATGTCACTCTGCCCTTTCTTCCACGGCCATGTCACGTCCATCCACCAATGCGTTTACCACCATTTCTGATCACGTGATCACATGAGTTAGTGACAGCGCCGTATCTCTCAAGGGGAGGTTGATGATGTACATGCGAATTATTTTTCAAGTTTCCTCGCGCGCGGTTGTTTGAACCTAATCAGGGTCCAGCAGGCGCTTACAAAGGGAAGAGCAAAGTTTTATTTGAGTCCGGACTACAACCTGAAAACCTGCACTAGGTTGCTATGCAAGTACAGCATTTAGTTAAGTCTATGAAGACACATGCATACATATATATTCAAAACGGTGTGTTTGTCTGCTTTCAGTTTCGATGTGGAGAATGGGCCGTCGGTCGGCTGCAGCCCCCTGGACCCCCAGGCCTCCCCGGGCTCTGGTCTGGTCCTTCACACTAACTTCCCCGGTCATAACCAGCGCCGCGAGTCCTTCCTCTACCGCTCCGACAGTGACTATGATCTGTCGCCCAAGTCCATGTCACGGAACTCCTCCATCGCCTCTGAACTGTGAGTATAAATTCTACATACTGTATTTATATACATACATGTTAGACAAATGGGAACATAATCATTAGTATGAAATACATTGTTGTTGTAACTTGTTTGTTGGTTGTTGTAACAGGGAGTGGTGTGCAGTTCTAGCATCATTTAAGAAAATATATGAACTCTGAGTAAAGATAATAAAATAATAAATATCCCTGATCAGTAGTGTCAGCGGGTGAGATGCTCCTCAAACGACATTACCTGTGATGCATTGGGATGCCTTCATGTTGCTTGAGAGAACGTCCGAGGTTGTCTGTGTGACATCACATCATCACATTACAGCGATTTGAAACTCACAGAAGAGTAATTCAGATCTTTCTTTCCCGCGGTATTTTAGGAAGATTGGTCACTCTGAGACTCCTAGTTCGACCCATGAACATCCTCCCATACTCCGCTCCCTCTTTGGAGTAACTAGGCTTGCTGGTCATAGCAGTCTGCTTATTGTTACTTACTTTACATCTTTGCTTTTAAAAGCCGTGTGAAATTGTCAGAAATCCCTTTGGAAGTTTAATGCAACATAACCTGATATGTTGTGTGTTGTGTTATTTGAAGAGGCTTCTGACCACTTCTCTCTGTTGCGTATGTTTTCAGACATGGTGATGACCTGATTGTAACGCCTTTTGCTCAGGTAAATATCTTACTGTCTCTAACCCAGAATGAGTCTGCTACCAACATTCTCATGATTCTCGTAAAGCAGAAGTGACTGTTAAAGAAGCCGATTAGGGAAATGAAACACTGTCCACAGTTCAAATGAACATTTAATGTATCATTTTTATAACCATTAGCTTAATGTTTTGAATACATTGTTTAAATTATTAAAAACTCCTAATAATAATCTTTCCCTCTGCCCTTTTTAGGTTCTGGCAAGCCTTCGTAGTGTGAGGAATAACTTCACTGCACTGACCAATGTCCAGTGTGCCTCCAGCAAGTAAGAGCTAATGGTTTGAGACATTTTTTAACATGTTATTTCTTTCAGTGAAATACTTCAGTGACGTGCTTTGACTCCAACAAAAAAATAGTTCTGCCAAATAATCATATCCCGAGCTGCCACTTGAGAATAAAACATTAGATTTATGTTTTATTATGTTTTGGGGGCCTTGAATTAGAGTTGAAGCTCACTGTGAACAAACTCTTGGGAAACATTCATTGGATTCCCTTGTGGCAGAGTACAGATTGAAACTAAAAAAAGACTATTAAACATTGTAAACAGGGTGCAGTAGAAATAAAAATATATCACATTTAGCCACAGCACAGCTTTTAAAATCACCCTTAAAGTCAAGGGCTTATAACTCATACAGACAGCATTTGCAGGCTGCAGTTCTATTATAGCACCACAGGCCGGCAGTATTGAGCTGCAAAAAAAGACTGATCGACATCTGACGTCACAGAACGAACAAACACAGTACATGCCTTTTACCCACACACTCACACACACATGCAAAAAGCACATTTCCACCAGTGAGGTTCAAAAGATTTGATTAGATAGCAGACTAAATGAATGCCAAACAAAAGTGGGATTCTAATATTCTATATACTATCAACTGTCGTGCAGCTTAAACTACAACTACTCACACACATTGAATGCCTCAATGTGCCTTTAAATTATTTGTTGTTGTTTTCCCTGTATTCATTCTGCACTGCATCATAATTGTATCTCACAATTACGCTTGATAGAGACACGTCGTACATAAAACTTTTAAAAATTCTAGAACAGGTACAGAGTTTATGCTTTAAAAAAACTAAACTGCAGGATTTTTCTTTTTGTCATTATGTGAGTTTAAAATAATTATAAAAAAAAGAGTTTTGTCAGTTTGCAAAGAACAAGAGTTTGTCTATACATAACTTTTTATGAAAATCTATCCAGCATTTCATGGGTCTAATCTAAGGCCTCAGTTACTGATCGTTATCAATGTGTTATTCTGTTGTGTGTCGGTTATTTACTCTAATATTTTCAGTTTTCAATGATATAAAGCAGCGGTAAATCCATGAATCTACGAATGAAAAGTAGACGGTAGATGCCGATCCACCATGTATTTAGGGCACATCCCCTCTATTCGTCAGATGTGTGTGTGTGTGTGTGTGTGTGTGTGTGTGTGTGTGTGTGTGTGTGTGTGTGTGTGTGTGTGTGTGTGTGTGTGTGTGTGTGTTAAAGAGCCTCCCTGGGTGATTGATAGACACTCTGATAGCTGCATTCTTGTCTGACCTACATTCTGCTCTGAGTCTCAAAGGCAGAGATGGAATCATGCACACAAGTGCACAGACAGCAGCATCAAGTTAATACACACAAATTTCAACCTGATTTCACAAATAAGATTACACAGATCTTCGGTGAATCCCTGTTGAAAGGAAATATATTATAGTGACCCGTTTCCCAATTGTCAGTGTGCAGACTAACGGACTAACGGATCTGGCTCAGGATGCGACTGCTGTGACGAGCACGTGTGTGACTGAAACATTGCAAAGCTCCATTACAAAACAAACCAATAGAAGTGTTACGTCCACAAAGTGAGACAATAACTTTAACAACAACCGAATTAAACAGTGATGTTCATAAATTAACCGTTTATTAATGGACAACTGAAGATTCTCAAATGTGGTGGAGGTAGGGACAATATAGTTGGAACTTCAACTTGAGTATAAAATAGCCCAAATAATGAGTAATTGCGTTGTCCGTAGGTGGGGGGTTTACCCCAAGTCAACTTCCTGAGCAGACGCACAACACAGTTAAAAGAATTTTGGAAATATGCTTTTGTTTTCTTGGAATAATTGATAGTAGAATTCAATGAGAAAATTCTCACTTGATTCTCAGTGATTATGAGTTCACGGTCTGAAGCTATTTTCGAATCCTCTTCATTACAGCATGAAGTTAATTTAGTAAATTAGTTATTTTTGATAACACGAGACCCACGGGAAATGTCTCTTTTCTTTAGAATCATTTGAGTATCAATCAAATATATAAAAAACAAATCTACTCAAGGAAACACATTTGTAGGGAACGATGGAGAGAATTCTTTAAACTGGTTATTTAGGGATACATTTATCTTTATTGTCAAGCTTGACTCTGTTCTTGCTTAGGATATAAGATAACATACTAACATAAAGTCAGCTAGTAACATGATAATTTCTTACCGTTGGTTAGCTGTTATGTGTTAGATGATCACTTGAATACATCTAAGAAATCCAACATTGATATTGTTGCTTACAGGAGGAACTTCTCGCCCTTTATCAGGATGTCTTTCATAAAGAATCTATAAAAAATCTTTGTAATTTAATGCTTCACCTTGTTTACGTGTAACCTTATACACAAAGACAGAGGTTTAAATTTTCCCATCAAAATGTTGCATTAAATTAGCTCAGGACTCCTTCCCATCCGCAAAGTGCTTTTTAAGGCAACTAATGTTAGTCGTAATTAGTCGTTAGGGAAACACAAGGGCAGATATGGAAGCGGTATTGATTATTACATCTAACTCTTTGCAAGGAGTGAAAAACTTTGTATTTTTCAGTAGTTTCAGTATTTGGATTTAAAGCACAAAGAAGAACGAGTAACTAAGTATATGTTTTCATTTTGATATTCTTCTGCCCCCCCCCCCTTCTTTCAGGAGGTCTCCTGCAGCAACCACTCAGCCTCCAATCACCAGAGTCTGTCTCCCAGGTAAGCGGCTCAGATGAATATCCTGCTGCGTGTCTGACTTCTGCAAAGCTGGGTGGAGAATGTTCTTATCTGCTTTGCGTCTGGCTCGAACGTTCTTCTGCCTCAGTTTTTTCTTGTTGTAATTTTCTCTCCTCCTCTCCCTTCCTTGCCTCACTCCTCCGTCTCTTCCTTTGCGGATGTACTCAAACACTTGACGACTTTCACTTTTCTTTGCCATCTTTCATCAACTACAACTCCACACTACAACTTCATTAACCGCCTAAATGAGCCTGATAACCACTCCCGGACAGTTGAACTGGTACTTCAGGCCCAGACGGACGTACAAAGACACACACAGACACATTTGCATGCAAAATCAAATGGATTCGATTCAACCCTCATTTCCATGTCTTTTTTCGTCGTGGATCCTTGGTTGTGTATCAGTTTGTAGAATTGTAGCAGGGATATTTCTGCATTTTCTTTCTTTCCTCTGTAGTACACATGTATTATCCTTCACCTAAAGTACATTAGTGTCGTTGATCACTTTGAACTACCTCAGTGATATTGCAATCTTCTTACGTGGTGCAAAAACTGCAGTAAGTCTGCAGTAAGAGATATCTGAAATACCACTTTCTTCAAAGTCCTCTTGTCTTCTGTCCATTCAAAGGACCGATGGGGCTTCAATATTCCTTTATCATCGACGGAGGGGCTCCACAGAAATAGAGCACCACTGCCGCGCTTCATGCCGAACATTGAAAACAATGACGTGCTGCTATTTAAAATGAGTCCGAGTTGAGAAACAAGGAAACTGAGAACAGTGAGAATAGTTGAGAAACTTGTTTGTGTAACATTAAAAAAAAAAACGAGAAAATCAAGCCTCGGCCAGTCATACGAATGTTTTCATTAAAAGGCAAAAACAAGTGTCTTTTGCAGAATTTATCAAAGAATCGTGCCAACTCAACTTAAGTTCTTGTTTACTCATTGGTTAAATGGCTGAAATATGTCAGTTATGTGTTTCAAAAGGAAGCAGCAAGTTATTCGGTAGTCTATGTCTATTTACTGTGTGTGTGTGTGTGTGTGTGTGTGTGTGTGTGTGTGTGTGTGTGTGTTTGCGAACAAGCGACTATCTAAACATCAACGTGAGTCTCTAAGAGAGCATTTCAGGGCTTTAATGGTTGTTTTTTAGTGCTTCGTGACATTTTGCTATGTTAGATTCGTGTGGTGTTGGATTTGAGTGTTTGTTCTTGCATATATTCATCACCGAGAGTGTGTGTGTGTGTGTGTGTGTGTGTGGTGTGGGGAGGTGTTCCTGTGGCTCTGATTGACGTCAGCATGCCTGTATGTGGCTTATGTTGACTTCCTGTCTAAGCAGATGGACTGAGTTTTCACTTCCTTCTACACAACCGCAACTCGTCAGGTGCTCTGAGTTTGTATTTGTGTGTTAGTGAGTTCAGGAACGCGTGTGTGTGATGAACCAGCTTCATTATGTGCATTATGACCTTTCTGCGTACGGGCAAACAAGGTCTTCATCGAAGACGAATTAAATGGATTTGAATCGTTTCTCTTACTTGCAAAGGTTGGCTTAAGGGTGAAAAAGGCAATACCAAGTTCAGCAAAAATGATTGAGGCCGTGTCTTGAGACAGGCCTATGCTATTGCATTTGGAATATATGTTTCTTCCTTATTTAAATATTCAAAGCAGTTATGATTTTTTTCAGCTAATTTAAAAACCTGAAAAATGATGTAAACGTTTGGCTTCAGATTGGTTCCAGAAGCACTATTTGTTTTTATAGTGTAGTATTTTTCTACAGCTTTTAATGAAAATGCACTAGTCTATTTTCTGACATATTAAAAACCAAATGAATCTAAAAAGGTTCAGTAGGTTATTGTATAAGAAATCGTAGCTGTACCCACAATTGTATTAGATATATGAATATTATGTACAGCATTGGTCAATGTGTAATTTTTGAAGACAATGCTATCACGATGTAGGTTAAAAGACCAATTCTTAACTTCAGGTAATTGAATACAATTTAACATTTCCTAAATCTTACAAACCTTTCATTGTTGTTTTTTCGGTCTCTTCAGGGGATTTGCTAATAATTATGAAAATATACAGTACTCCACTATTTGTTTTTGTGCTGTAGTTAAACTGTAGTATTTACTTTAACTGAAAACGTTTGCAGGATTTCACTTCTAAATACTTTGTGTCAAAAGCTTGTGATTTTTCCACACTTTCTTTGTCCAGATGTCTTGGTGGTCTGCGGGTTTGGCCTCCACAACTGCCTCTGCCTCTGCCACCTTACCTTTCTAGCTCATTCACAGACACCCTCGGTTCAGCTGTCTTTTTCACCCTCTTAATTTCTATCTGCATTTGTCGTATCTCTCTTTTTATTGACACTGGAGGACGAGGAAGGGTTAAGGCAGGAAGTGTGAGGCAGGAAGAGAAGATCACATTGTTCCTGTTTGGGTGACTCTAAACTGTTGTAACTTGACGGAAGCCGGTAGCGACTGTGTGTAGCCGAGGTGTGTGTATGTTTTAGTGTGTATTAATCTCTCACAGCCCACAGGAGAAAAATAGGATGCTGTGAGACAAAAGCCCGTTGACTGTGACCACACACTTCAAAACATGCTGATACAACGATGCAAAAAGTAAATACCTGCTACAGTGCTGCACATTCACAGTGGGTCTGACGCAGGTGAAATGTTTTACTGTCACAGCAGCAAAGTAGCAAAGTATACACGGTACTGTAGTCCAGGTCAGGTATGTTCAGAGTTTAAGGTAAGATCAAATAGAACAGCCTCAAATGTAAAAGAGACTGTTCAGATATATTACAGTTCACTGGAATTTCCCGGTGTTGCCCACTTTCCCAATAAAACTAATGAATGCATTAGATTAGACCATATTCATGAATTTTGCGTAGTCTGAAGTTTCGAATTTGACAGATGAATTGAAATGCCAATACAATAACCTAATCTTGATTCATATTTAATCAAAACTGCCTTGTGGTTTGCGTTCACAAGCAAGGATCGACTGCACGGGAGACTCCTCCACTCTCATTGGTTGTTTTCCTTTTGGCACTGGGAGATCTTGACATATATGTAATTAGTATTACATATCACATATTTGCACTTTTGCCTTATATTGACAACAAACCATAAGCATGTTTCAGACTTTACCACTTTTGGTGTCTTTCATCACTCTGGGAATCTGCCTGCATATGTGTCTAAAATAATTTCACCATAACAGAAAGCCATTTAACTAAAGCAGCCGGTACGTGTAACGGTGTCCTAAAAGAGCCGGGAATTATTCAGTCCCATTCCTGCGAGATTTATCTGGGGCGAAGCACAGAAAGGTATGATCGGAATTCCTGGTCAAGTTGACCTCTGTGATGAAACGCTGTCATACAGGATGCGTGTGAGGCAAAGGGCTCCTGAACTCTGCCGACCTCGTTCACACATGCGTTGTGGGTTTATGCGCCGGGCTGCTCGGTAGTGTGGAAAAATGTCAACAAGTTGACTTTTTAATTCCCATCGTGCCTTTCCATTGTGTTGGTGTTTTCATAGAAGGAGAGCAGCCCACCCCCACCCCCCCCCCCCCCTATGACATTTTCCCCCAAAAGAAGCCTGGCATGTTTTTTTAAAGTTGGGAAATGGTGTTTGGTCATCACTAAACAATGAGCCGAGTTAACTCTATAGGTCAAAGGAATTCGGACAATCAGGGCCTCTTATGCCATATGGTAAACAACATAGGCTTGCTGTATATGGTGCACATGTAGACGTATAGGGTGCTTCTTTATTAGTCTTTAGTCTAGCAAAGTATCACTGGACAGAGAAGACTGTTTACTTTGACTACGACCAAATACCTGTAAAAAGAAATTACATTTACGTCAGTGTTTTGTCCTCATTATCAGATGTTAGCATGCAGCCGAGCTAAACTAAGACCAGGAACATGGCAGTAATTCTAACAAAACATAATCTAATACCTGACACTGTGGAAGTCATCATTTTAACTATGAGCATGCTTATGTGCGAGCCACAGATTAACAGCAGCTAGCATTTCTCAAATCAAATCCAATCAAGTCCCAGAAAGAGTTCTGAGATTTGTCTAACCTTTGACAGCACCTCACAGAGACGAATGAATGAAAAGGTCCTCATCGATCTCATTGAGGATGCCATGCAAAGTGAGCCTTACACAACCCTGCGCTCCACGCAGCAACCAGAGGACCAGTGTGTGCAGGAATCCGATGAGGAGGCCACAGCAAGGCGGACACGAGAGACAGAACAGGAGGAGGGATGAAAGGAGGAGACGAGGAGAGGAGAGGCGAGAGGGCAGGAGACATGCGGTCTGTCTTGAGAATGGAGTAAGACTAAGCGAGGAGGTGCCTGAGAAGATATGATGCTAAGAAACCAGGAAAGACGGACATAGATAAGGGGCTGGATGATCTACACAGACTTTGTGACTTCTCATCTATTTCATTATTGGTGTTTACAGTGTCAGTTTATTAGTTTAATTTTTGGTAACATATAAATACCCAGTTAACAAGGGAAAGACAAAGAGGGCTGCAACAAGAGAAGTGATGTAACTGCTGTGATTTTGTTCTGGAAATATTGTTTCTAAATACAATGCTAACGGTATTGAGGTGATCTGTTTGCTCTGTTTAATAGGACCACATTGTGTATTTTGCTATTTTGTGCGTGGTCATCAACAGTTGACTGTGGCAAATATAGTGGTTTTACACAATGCAAATACATGGAATAGCTTCTTCCCCAAAATGTGACCGCTGCATAAAGAGCCGGGAACATTGAGTTATGGTTATTTGTTGCACAGAGTCTTAGTTTTGTTTTTGACCTTGAGGGACAACATGCTGACTGTCTACAGTAAAAACCAATGCACGACCCCACAGGTGTCGATCATCACGTATGCTTCAGGCAACACGTGCATCGCCTTGCAGACTGCATCATATTTATTAAACACACAAACACAGAGGCTATTTCCATGCAGGCATTTATTCAGCAGGA